AGCAGTATGGTTTGAGCAATATTGCTTTGATGACTTGCCTCAGGTCCCAGAATGAGGCAGTACAACCTCATCACTGATTTGCCATTAGCAAGCACCTTATGCTTTGGGAGAAAATTAGGATATATTTCCCAATTTTATGTGGAGCTTTGTTCAACACAGGCTCCTTTGAAATCAGTAGGATTATTCCAAGAGTCTTACTTAAGGTGAGATGGGGGACTAAACTGAATTTCATTAGATGTTTAGGCAATGCATACTAGAAAATAAATCTAGCAGTTTTCCCACCTAAACATTAAGGTAAGATGGGATTTTGTCATACATCAATACAGCACTAATTCTGCTAGTGTCCCTGGTGGTGCAGTGGCTAAACCACAGCGTTGTCAACGCTGAGATCTGGGTTCGATTCCCGGTTAGGACACTCCCCGGGCAGATGGAGCTCGTTAGCCCTGTAAGGCAATCCATCTACATCCTGAGGACCTCGCTGCCACCGTCCAAGCGTGCTTGGCCCGGGAGATGAACCTCAGGATTAAAGGGTGGGCTCAGTTCCGCGCACACTGTGTCTCACCTAAAAAATCCAATGCGCAGGCTGGAAGGTGTAAAGACCTTCCCCGGTTCTTCGTTCGCGAAGAGACTGGCCATAACTAATTCTGCTGTAGTTCAAGTTAATGATTTCAAGAAACAAAAAATTTAATCTGCTTGGAATGCTTTTCCTCAGCTTTAATTTTGATGAAATAACAATTATCTCAAACATCATCACACCTGTATCAACAGTACAACAGCCTACCAAAATATACACTAAGACTGTTGTCTATAAATTCAGTAAGTGTGCTAGAGAGTCTAGGAGAAAAGCTAATTAAGATCAATAACAATATGGACATAAGATGAAATAGGCAAAACACAAGGTAGAAAATTTGCAGCTGAAAATGAAAGCTTTCTAATCCTTTCATGAAAATACTGTAACACCTTTCCAACAGCAGCACAAAGAAATCTGATGTTAGACCAGAGTTTGCTCAGCTCACAAGAGCATAATGTAAAGTAAGAAGTCTGCAACAGCCAGAGACAAGACTTGCTGACCCGGGAGGTCCTCCTAAAGTCTGTTTGCTGTGCTCCCAGAACAAGACAACAAGCTGCACATCTTTTCCCCCCCAAAGGGAAAGAAAGCATCAGGGAGAAAACAAATGTGTGACAGATGTTATGTACATTGTTCAATGCACTCAGCTACTGGAGAATGCACAATGTAAGGGCATATATAGAATAGAAAACCCCAATTAATTCTGTGCAACAGCCAAGAACACAGCCATCTGTACCAGCTTGGTGGGTACACCCATTTCAGTCCACACAAGGGCAAGAGCTGAGAGAGGAAACATGTAATGAAATAAATCTGTGTGTGACTGTAGTCAATGAAGAGTTGCAAGAGGGCCTCAAGCTGAGAACCTTTTTTCCTTTGAAAGAGCCATTGAAGAAAAGATCAGAAAAGATCCAAGCTTATCTGAAACTGACCTTTGCTATCAGGATCAGCTATGAAAAGTAAAAGTACTTATTACTATGGGACTACAAACAACTGATTTTCTTTCTGACCCCTACCCAAAACTAGGCAAACCAGTAACATACTTTGAGCACCACAAATACCTTGTGAATTTTAACAATTTTTGTAAGCTCTGTTCAACTTTTACCCTATTCAAAAAAACAGATATTTTCCTTATATGCTTCAAGCAGAGTCTTTACAGAAGCAAAAGGCTAAATTTTAAATCTGTCATGGCTGCAATTTAACAAAGAGCATTTTCATAACACTTTTCTCTCAGTGCCAAGGAAAGCTTTGCTTCCCCACTGTAAAGATCCCAGATAAGGTCATTCCTAGGAGGGATCCACATATCTAAAGATGCAGCTGAGAGTTACTTGTAGTGGTAATTATTATCACTCATTGCATTCCGTGCATTAAATATGTTAACCAAAACACTAAGATACTGTAGTAAAAATCAAAGATGTTATCTTGATCAACAGAAGATTACAAAAGAAGAAACTAACAAAAAATCAGCCTCACAAATTGTTCCTCTGAGCCAATAAATATTACATTTGTGACACAGCTATACTGAAAGTAACACTATTTGCTTACATTAACACTTGAGTAGTGTGGGGAGCAGAACCCATGAGCTCCATCTAAAAGGCTTATGTTCTTTTTTTTTTTATTATAGCTGTTTGCCTAATTTTTCCCCATTCTCTTTGTCAAGAGAACCATTTATTTTTTCATTTATGAAATAGAGCAGAAACAGC